GTGGCTTTTTGCCAAGCGAGAGAGAGGAAGCAGTTGAGTCGAAGCAGGCCGCTTACCTTAGAAGTTTTTACGCAGTTGCTGGTTGCCTTCCAGGCCAGAGGTTTTAATCCTCTTGATAATTTTAAACGTATTGTAGTGTTCACAGTTCTCTGTACTACATACGGCTTCCTGTTATATAAGGCCAATCTTCCACGTTTATTATTCTAAAGTTAAATTAGAGTTTAGTTTTTATTTTTATATTTTTACGTTAGACCACAAGTAGGGTCTTGTATTCCGAAGTACGGAAGTTATTGTGTAATAGAGAAAAATAAAGGGTTTTGTATACCCTTCTTGTGTATCCTGTCTACTTCCCACAGTGATTGAACATAGCTTTAGTAAGCTCTCTGTTCCGAGTCAGGTCCTTGCATGTTCCCGAAGAAAGTAAGACGGAACATTGAACCTGATACTACATAAAAATGCTCGTAACTTAAATTATTAATATCAGAAAAGGTTTCTAAACTGGTATTTTAGTTTTTGTTAGCTACACATGAAAGCATTTCTTCTTCGATTTGAGCACAGCCCTTACATATGACGACCAAATTTAAAATGCAATAGCTCGGTTGAAATTTGTCGTACGAGAGTCACACCTTTTGTAATTATAAGACTTCCCTTACTTTTTACGAAATCAACTCTTCTTTTTAGCCCAAGGGACGTTAACCCAGATTGGCTTTTAGTCTCAAACCAGCAGAAGCGTTGTATCACTTTTCAAATTGTTGTCACAAAATGTTATCTCCCTGTATTACAATTAAAGAAATTAAGTAATGGAAGAATTAAATAATCTACATGAGTGTGTGTATGTTTCACGCATTGTGAAAAAACAATGTTACCTAGAGCCTAGAAAAAAAATTTTTATCTGCAGCGCGCCAGACTGGCTATCAATAATTCTAAAGATATGTTGTTTTAAATGCTCTCAAAACTTGCGTGTGTATGTAAATGAAAAAACGACCCTTTAAGCGTAATATAAAATCGAATAGTTTTCAGATATTTTCTCTTTTTTTTTTAAATTTAAAATGCTCAAACATGAATATTTGATTCATTTGAAACTTTTTTATACTGTATATGTTTACAACCAATGGTAGCGGAAATAGACACAGGTGACAAGGTATATACATAAAACAATAATGTCAAAGATAAAAATCATTGTATAGTAATTTAATTTTATGGATATTTTTTTAAAAAATGCATAATTCTTTTCATGAGTAAATGGGTGAGTTTGAAAAAGTAACAAATAAAACTAACTACAAACATCCCTCATCCGATCAGATAGATATGGTTTCATTGTGAATTGTTTTTATCACCGTTTTACTTTGCTTCTTCCTTTTCATTTTTTAAAACAATGGGAATCGTGAATTTGTTTGGTTTATTGTTATGCAGTATTGTTGGTTACTTCTGTATTCAAACATTTGCATTTTCATTGTAAATATTCCATTTTGTTCTGTGTTTTATGCAAAAGAATGGTGCACTCTGGAAAGCTAATACTAATTTTACTTCGTACTTTGCAAGAGCAAATTCCACACCATTTAGCGGCGGCAAATGTACTAGCAATTCGCTTCTCATGGTTCCTAAGGAGCTGCGGGTTTCTAGAAGAATTCCATGGGCTGCATTTTGAACTATGCTATCTCTGTTTACAGGGCAGGGTAAGTTCAATCTACTTTTATAAAGGATGCATGTCATGACGTGATGACCACGCATGCGCAGTTTAGCCGAACGGCCTGCAACTCCTCTCTCTCATGTGACTTATCAGAAAAGAGTAGTTAGTTAGTAGTTGGTAGCGCAGTAACGAAGGTAACGTGCTGTATGTCAGCGTGGATGCAAAATACGCATTATACTTGTGTGTTAATCGTTTGTACTTATTATTTTATTTGTGTGTTAATAAAGTTTTGTGCCTTTAAAATGGCTGGTTTATGCAATGCCCACATTACGCTACGTCTACGGTAGGAATTAAATACATATCCAAAACCTACACGCCCAAGAAGAAGGATATGACAATGCAACAGTGTGACTAAGCAAAATTTTAAGCTTTCTGGTCCTTAGCACATGAGAAAAAAAACCCTATTTTCCTTCCTTTGAGGTAAAGTGACACGTGAATTATTTCTGTACATGTTAGAAAACTTTATTGCTCCAAATGAATATCATCAGGGGCTGTTCTATTCTCCAAATAAATGAGACTCTCCATTCACAGGGATTCTATTTCCACAGGAACGTACAAATGCATCTACAGTGGAATGCTATTCCACAGCGTACTGCATTAATCTTCTTATCATACTCGTTTTGTCAGATCTTACATTGAGTGATTTTTATCTTTTTGACAGTTTTTACATACCATCACTTCCCCACATATATTCATATGTAATTCACACATTAAAAGTCATCATAATTTCTAAAATACACCGTGTTTTCGATGCGTATGGCTTCCACATGGACGTGAGTTGTAGAACCCAATATGCCATAAAAAGATGTTAAATCCATTTTTTTTTAAATTTTATTCTTCAAATATTATTTTATGTTAAGCAAAAAGCACAAGTTCATCAAATAATGTAATGCTTTAGAGAAATATGTATTCTTTTCTTAATAAAAAATAACAAATTTCGCTTTCTGCTGAGTAGTAAATCCATGATTAACCTGATAGCTACTTAACTTTAAAGGAAAGAATGGCAGAAGAAGCTATTTTGTAACTCCTTAAAACAACTTTTAAGTAAGCAAGCTATTTTGCAACTTCTCGAAACTCTATAAAAAATTTTTAAAATTGATTACTACAAATATCTTTTTCATAAATAAAGCAATTAATAATATAATTATGCCTCAAATAATTTCAAATAACTCTATTTATTTGACATAAAAATTAACATAATAGTCGTAGCATCGATTTTTAAATAAAATATTTTAAATTTATTAAAATCTGTATTAAAGTATCATAGTTTATTAGAAAGCAAATTCGTACTAAATAAAAAACTTGTAATCATTATAACTTTTATAATGTTAATAATTTTGGATTTAATGCAATTAAATATCAAGAAGATATTGATTATTATTAATGATTATTATATAATGTAACTTTATTAATTTAATGTCAGCAGGGAAAACATATCAGCTTTGTTAATTAGTAGCATAACCACTTTTACCTGAGCAGAAACTTTGTTGCCACTTAATAAAATAAAAACTTTAGTATTGACAACCAAAATATTAAAATCGTCTTATTAGCTCAAAGAAGCAATTTGCTTAAGAGGGCTATTAATTTCGTTTTGGCTTTTTGCGTTGATTCCCTATAAATGTCGAATCTCATTTTAAATTTTTGCCACCAAATGTCACCAAATATTAACCCAGTATTATATTAAAAAAATTAAATCATAAATAATCTGCGAAAATGTATGTATGTTTCTTGCATTGTGATAAAACAACGGTACCTAGAGCCATCAAATTTTGAATAGCGTAATCCTCCACCGAATATGGGCATCTGGAAGCCTGATTTTGGAATTTGAAATTTGTTTTATTATCGATTTCATGACTTGTAACTATTTAACGAATTCTTGGTTAACAAAATCAACGATTTTGAAACCGACAGGCAATACTACACAAAAAACCTTTTTATTTCCAGCGCGTGAGCCTGTATCGATGCCCGAAAGATATGCTTATAAGGTTATTTTGCGATATTGCTGTTGACTGAATTTTATGGTTTCAGTGCGAAGAATAAAATATTTAATAAATAAAGGTAACACACAAAACATTAAAAAAAGGCCCATTTGGGCGTTTATCTAAAAGCTTTCAGACTCTTTAGCCCAAAGGCCGTTAGCCCAGCAAGGGCTATTTCGTTGGTTTACTACAAATGTCGGTTCACTTTTAAAATTTTTGCCATCAATCATTAGAGCCCTGTGTTATATTTAAAGAAATTAAATAATGAAGAATCTGTATAAATGTATCTAAGTTACTCGCACTGTGATAGAGCAACGGTACCTAGAACCATCAAATTTTCAGTAATGTATGTCTCCACCCGAATATGGACATCTGGAAACCCTAATTTGAAATTTGGAATTAGTTTTATTATCTATTTCATATTTTATCAGACATTAAAGAACTTTTGAGTAACAAAATGATTTCAAAGCGAGGAATGGCAACACTGTGGGGGAAAAAAAGACATTTTTATCTCCAATACGCAAGACTGTGTATTGGAAATTCTAAAGATAAGCTCTTTTAAATATTTTGTGATATTGCTGTTGAATTGAATTTTACGGTTCAGTTCCGAAGAATATAAAATATTTAATAAATAAAAGAAACACACAAAACGTTAAAAAACACCCCTTTGAGAGTAATATAAAATCTGAAAGCTTTCAGATTTTTATTTATTCATTTTGTTTTAATATTTTATATTTTAATTCTTTATATATAGTAATAATGAATGGAATCTTATGAAAACAAAAAGTAAAATTGCAATTTATTAAAAATATATCTAATAAATGTTCTTTAAATACAGTTCTTTATAAGCAGATCACAAAGTGCTGGGCCCGTCATAGAATTAATTTATGATTCACTTCATGATTTTTTAAACCACTGCTTGGCTCCTGATGTAAAAAGCCTGCGTCTTAATAAGCCTGCGTCTTTCGCCGAATTCATAATTAATTCGGCGAAAAATTAAACCTAGTAAATCTCATTTTGATGTAGGAAATTTTACTTGAAAATTTTAATTATATTATATGTAATATATTTGTTTCAATTACTTTTAATAAATTTTAATCAGATTCTCTTTTAACCCATTAAGTAATATTGTTTTAAATGTGTTAGTTTTAAGCCATGCTTTGAAAGACATAGGAAATGAAAAAAAAATCAACGTAGAGTAAATTTTAATATAAGGAATGTAAAATCCTGAGGCATTATTGTAATTAAGACTATTGTGAGTTACTAGTTTTAAAATTCATTAAAATGTTAAAAATCATGTTATCAATGTTAAAAAAAAGTAACTTATTTACCACAGTTGAATCAAGAAGAGTTGAGCCTTTTTTGTTGATGATTACGATAAAATTCCACATATCAAAAATATTAGATCAAAAACAGAATTCACCCTCGTGGAGCCAGACTTATGATGTAACACATTCCGCTTAGGATTCCGCAATGAAGGTCAAAATCTCAAACAAACACTATGAAAGTTTTTTCGTATACACTTCTTTGAGTGATTTATTCACTTCAAAGTGCTCCTTTCTCATGGAAGGGAAAGTACTAAATAACTTACGCTTGTGTCGATGACATTGAGATAAGCGTGAACAGTTGTTGCAGGTGATAAATTTTAAAAGAACTAAAGAACTCGCGCATGAAAAGAGTCTTGGGAAATCTGACTTATTTTCAATATAACATGGTTAAAACTTTATTCTGTATAAAAGGAGCATTGGGATGGCTTTATGATGAAACATAAATTAAATGCTCAAATTCAGCCACCTTTGAAAAAAGAAAAGAACTACTGTTACCGTTTTGATGTTAATCTTCAGCTGAATATGGGTTTAGTGTCGTAAATGATTTGTTTTGAAAGAAAAGATATCGATGGGATATCACGAAACAGGGAGACGTGAGATTCAAGTACACTCGTTTAGAAGTGACTTGTACCTTGCAATTGTTAAATAATTAAATAATTATTATTTAGCAATTAAAACACTATAGAAAATTCTTTCATTAAAATAATTATGTATTTGAATTTGAGTTCTCTATTATATGTTTTGAAAATTTACTTAATGTTTCTTAACAATTCTTTAATGACATCTTCCTAAAAATCAAGTCTTGTATTCAGAACAAGCTTTAATTTAAGCTTCGTTCTAAGAATGATTCAAATTTTGAATATAAAAAATTATGCTTGGATTACACAGGGAACATCAGAACGTTAGAAAGGTTAGGTGAGACATGGCAAATAAAAGTTTGGGAAACACTGATGTAAGGAACTAGGTTATATTAGGCTATTTAACTTGATAGTATGAAAAAGAAAAGATAGAAAAGTTAAGACTTTGAGATGAATACTTGTTATTAAGTTGCTATGGCATAATGCGATAAATTTAAAATTTTGGATGGGGAAGCGTCCAAAGTGTGTACCATTTAACCTGTCCCTCTAACGGTTAGTTTTCCTTTCTCTGAAAATTTGAACAAATTATACTTTGTGGCTTATAACATAAATTTAACATGAATTAACATAAATTTAACATTTAAATAAGGATGCACATAAATAAAGTTCACATTTCAGAAAACTTGATGTTAAGTGCTGTTGTTCAAAATGATTCCAAATTTATAAGTATGCTTCTGCAGTAATATACTCTGCTTTTTGTAAAAATAAGAAAATTACATATGCTTGAATTATGCACTTCTTAAAATACCAGCTGTAAAAACCAATATGCACTGAAAGCGTTTTATCTTTCATTAAAGAAATCAAGATTTTAGCTCTAACTATTTTGTTATGATGTAATATGCGTTTCTTGTAAAATTTAGAATTAATATTTAGCTTATGAAAGTGTTTATTTTCCATAGCTACAAGTGTTCGTTACTGAGTATGACAAGTTGTGCTATTTTTGCCAATTAGTTCACGATGTTAATTATAGCCAGGCTGGGTATCTAAATAGCATAAAAGTAACTTTTCTAACTGAATTAATAGGATTTGATTTATTAGGTCCACACCTAAGTAGTGAAGTTAAAAAAAGTAGGTATTCACTCGTTATCGTGGATCATTTTTTAAGGATGGTAGAAAAGTTCCCCTCAAGAGAGCCTCCGCTAAAATTAAGTCAGATTCTTTTCGAAATGAGTTCATTTACAAACATGAAAAAGTAATTTCGGACAATAGTAGGCATTTGTTAGTCAAATTTTTAAGGATATATGCCCAGCGCTTCGCATATGATATTCAAAAATGGTTCCTTATCGCCTGAAATCAAATATAACACGGCGGGTAAATAAAATACAGTTAAGTTTGTTCATAGTTATGTAAAGAATTGTCATAAGCGCTGGTATAGTTGTGTCAATGAAATGGGATTTTCTTTGAGGACGGCTAAGCGTGACAGTAGTATGGGAAGATGCCAGCTGAATTATTTTTTGGCAGAAAGTTAATTACCCGTTTTGATAAACTATTTTAATGCAAATGAGGGGTCCGGAATTTAAAATGGCAGATATTTAGAAGTTCGTCGACGAAGCTATCCGTAAATCGGACATTGCAAGGAAAAAGACAGAAATTAAGCTATGTTAAGTTAGGCCGCGAGTGTAATTTAATGAGGGATATAAAGTTTTTAAAATAAAACATTCTCTATCATGTGTAACTAAAGATAAAGTAGGAAAATTCTGTTCTAAATGTGAATGCCCATTCTTCATAGAGCGAATAGGAAAGTCCGTTGTATATCTTAAATGACAAATGGGCGAGAATATTGTGGCAAATACTGATCAGTTAAAAAAATATTGTGAGCTGTCTGACTTGCCGTTTCTAAAAGGTATTTTTCAGGAATCACATCTTGGGAGAAATGGAATAGAAGTTCCCGCGACTTCGAAAATGCAAACCCCGGGGAGCGTAATGGCAAACCGCACGCTGAGTTGCTCAATGCTAACGATTTTCGCTTACTGCGTGTGCTCAATGGTGTACCGTTGGCGTGGGAGGAAATACTGGCGACTAAGGGGCATAGCAACCCTACACAAGCCTGTTAGTCCTGGCACCTTTTTCTCCTTCAGCCATCATTCTTTTGATGCAACTTCTCTTGGCATTTTCTTGTCGGCTCCATCATTTGCGGCAACCCTTGTTTTCCTTTCCCCGGGGGCGTAATGGCAGACCGCACATTCAGTTGAACAATGTTAAACGAATTTTGCATACTGTGCATGCCCAGAAGAGGATTTGAAAAGAAGATAAATATGGTATATGATTAATATTCTGTTATCTAGATGTGAGCAGTTAGGGCTAACTAACTGAACTCTTATCGACTACTTACAATTGAAAAAACTACGGAAATTTTTTTGTGCTTATTGCATTAGCTTCTGTGTCATTGCACGTTGGTTTATTTTACTCATACACATTACACTTAATATCAGTTATTTATAATAATTTCTTTTAATTTAATTCAGTAATTTAAACTGGATTTATTCCTTAATTTTTAAAGTATGTACGAATGAAACGTATGGTAACTACTCGATTTTTTTTATTCTTCAGAAGTATAATTAACATTCAGCCAAAAATCTCGTAATGTTTCCAGTTTTGTAATCCTTCTTAAAAGAAAATTTGCGTAGATCACAATCGATACTTACACTATGTAATAAAAAGTAACTTACAACCTAACAAATTTTAAAACCCCGAACTGCTTATATCCAGATAACAGATTACGCCCCCCGGGGAAAGGAAAACAAGGGTTGCTGCAAATGATAGAGCCGAAAAGAAAAAGCCAAGAGACGTTGCATCAAAGGAATGATGGCTAAAGGAGAAAAAGGTATCAGAACTAAGGAACAATAAAGTCTCAAGGAAAAAAGGAAAGGGCAACTGTCTACTAAAATCAGCCAGCAACCAATGGAGAATTAGCACCATCTGATAAGTAAACCTTCTCTCCTTTATTACCGGTTTGCGAGAAAACCATATATTTTCTGAAAGCTTCCGTCAAAGTAATAAAACCCTGAAATCTTAGGGGCAGAGGAACAAGCGTTTAGGAGCTATAGGACCCACAAAGTATCAGTAAAATGTTGGAAACATGACAACAAACGTCGCTAAAATGCTCGTTTCACGTATTTATATGAACTAATACTATGGTAAAAAGGAAAAAACAACTCGTTGAAAAGAAACAATATATACGTTGGGATCTTGAAAATGTGACTTTTTATTCACTTCAAACAAAATTTAATACAAGAGACAATCAATGGGCAAGAATTGAGAGGGGCAGAAAGACAGTTAACATTTTACAAAAGCGATAGCCTCACACTTTGCACACTCATCATTTCATGCTTCGAGTAATCCAGTGGCGCAATTAGCATTCCAGGCTCGTCGTCCAGTATTCTCCCTTATAAAAAGCATACTTAAACAAGTTCTTAAGACGATGAGCGCTGAATTGATATAGCGAAAAGTCTGCAGGGCTAGAAAACTATCGCGATGCCAAATGTACTCCTGTATCTCGATAATGATTGTGTTCATTATGTAACGAACAAAAGATTTGTAGTGTCTGAAGAAATGAATATCCAGAGGCTGGATCTTTCTAGTGTATCCTTCAGGTACCAGTTCTTTTTGTAAGACTTTACCATCAGGTACTTCGGAAGCAGACACTGCATGAACATACAAGAAATAGAGACGTCATTACGGGAATAGGTCCATCTATACACACTTTAATGGTACTTTATGGTTCCCAATAGCTCCTAAACGCTTGTCCCTCTACCCTTAAGACTTCACTGTTTTTCTACTTGTGATATAAACTTTCAGAAAATATATGAGTTTTCGGAAAACGGGTATCAAGGGAGAAAAGATTTACTTCTGAGGGATCAGTGAATAAGATATCAGTTTCCGCGTAAGGAGGCCAGCGAAATATCTTTAGCGCAACACCTACGAGCAGATGCTGATACGAATAAAAAAAATCTTTAGACCGGCATTCGGGTTTTTCAATATTTTGCCTCATATTCGAGTTTTTTTTTCCTGAAATTTTTTCTTGATATTAGATCGTGACAAAGAGTTTTTGTCGTACATTTGAAAATAAATTTAATTTAATTAATTAAATTTAGATATTTCTATGAATTAAATTGGATTGAATCTCAATAACACTCTTAATTCTCAATAACTGTTGTTTATTTTATCGAGAATGACTAATTCAATCCCTTTGAAAGTACAGTAAATTACCGTTTAGGTAATTACCGTTTATTAATCATCAGTAAATTACCGTTTAGGAATTAAGCATTACAGCGGGTTCAAAGTCGATCTGAGTTAGTGTTTGCAAGTATGTGCGACAGAAAATTATTTGCGCTTCCGCTTTTTCAACAGCTCAAAAATTGTTACATTCGTGTGAATCTAACTCAGGAACTAAATCATTTAATATGCTGCGAATTCTATAGTTTTCATTTCAACTTTGGTTAAAATTTCTGCAATTTTTTTGAGAAAATCTGAAATTCTTGTTCATTAATTTTTCCAATTTTTCATAATTATGTGTGAGCAAATTAAGTAACGAATTTTAAGCTATTTGAATTATTCATAG